CGATACTTTTTACAAATTCCATTTATACTGTTAAAATTTGTCACAAAATCCTCCAAAGTCAATATAGTTTATTCATATTTTATTATGGGGCCGGATCGACGTAGGGACGGATCGACGTGGGCCGGATCGACTTGGGGCCGGATCGGTTTGGGGACGGAACGACCGGATACCATTATTTGTAGCTACAAAACACAAAAGGTACAGGCCACAGACCACAATTAAATTCCCCTATTAGTTCTTTATAACGTTTTGTTTCATTAAAAAAATTGCACCTTGCATTTTTGTCAAATCTTTTGTGTGTATAATGTATAGTACTAGTCCAAAAATATATCCAAATTTCAGAAAGATTGAACCAATGACTCTTACAAATTTAGCCAATACACATCCATACCCCTATGGACAAGTCAAGAGATGTTCCGAAAACTGTAAATATCACCTTTTTGCACCTGGCCTAATCACTCTTTCCATATCAAAATCAGTTAAAATACAACATCCAAAAGATTATTTCATCTCTCTTCTTTTATTTCCACCCAAAAAAACCTAAGAAATGAGGGGAAAGAAAAAAAATTAAGAAAAAATACACTCTAATTAAAAGGAACTATATTCGTCGAAAATAGGTCGAAAAAAAATATTCCCTTGAATTTGACAGTTGTAGATAATTGATCCTTCATTTCATTGCAGTAAAACATTTCTTGGTCATAAACATATATATTGGGTATTTCAAAGCACCATTTTTTTTTTATTTAGGGTTTCTATAGAATATTTTGGAAACTTGAGGTTACATGGTTACTAAAGCTTGTACACAGGTTAAAAAAGGGGGAAAATTTGATTGGTTAACTTCCAGTGATGGTTATTTTCTTATATGCAATGAAATGTTATGTGAAATTTTTTCTATAGTACTGGACAGGATCAAACTTTACTCATGCCAAGTATTTCTTTATTTGAAACAAAGATAAATTCTGCACAATTTTTTGAAAAGTGCAAATTTAACAAAGACTAATAGGGGAAAATCAATGGTGGTATTACACCTTTAACTGTTCTAGAGTTATGCCCCTTTACAAATGGAAAAATTGCTGAATTTTTCATTTCCGTTCTCTAACTTAAGTTTGCCTCAACCAAATGTTATGAAACTTATACTCAATACTTATCGACACAAAACTCCGATCAAGTACAAATTTGGGTAGCGTCACTTATTCCGTTCTTCAGTTATGTCCCTTTATAACTTTATATGATATGCAAGCGGGGGCATCATCTGTGTCCCATGGACACATTCCCCATTTATTAGTCCCCTACCGACGAAGTCGAAGGGGACTTTAGGTTTGCCCACTGTCCGTCTGTCTGTCCGTCCGTCTGTCCATCCGTCAGTCCGGCAACTCAGTTTTCCACACTTTTTTTCTTCGTTCTTGAAGACATTGATTTGATATTTAGTATATAGTTTTATAATGACAAGTTATAGATCAAGTTCAAATTTTGTTCCGGTCTGATGATTTAGTCCAGAGTTATGGTCCATAAAAAAACTCCATAACTAATGTTAGAGTACTATGTTAAACCATATATCTGTACAAAGGGAGATAACTCATTTTTTAAAATTTGGTAAATTGTTTGAGGAATTTTGTGGCAGGTTTATATGTTATTTTGTATAAACTAATTTTCTGAATGCTACATGTATATATATATATATATTTTTTTATTAAGTGAAATCCTTAAATTAGATAATAATCTATTTTTATTAAAGTATATATTTCATTACATTACTTTGTGTAGATAAAAGTTGTTGACATTTTATAGATAAGTTACAAATCTATATTAGTTTGTGACAAATGAAAAAAAAAATATTTGGAACTATTAATTTTATTTGATTGTAATTCGAAAATAGATATACATTGTATTACATCATATCTAATGTTAGAGTGTTATAGGTTTTCCACACTTTTTTCATCTGGCTTGAAGATATTGATTGACAATTGGTATATAGTTTTATCATGACAAGTTACAGATCAAGTTCAAATTTTTGTTTCAGTCTGATAATTTTGTGCAGAGTTATGGTCCTTGGACTTGAAAAAATTCTCTCATATATTCAGTTTTCCACACTGTTTTTAGCCATGCTTTAAAATATTGACTTGATATTTTCTATTTGTTTACACCATGACAAGTTATAGAACAAGTTAGCATTTTGTTCCAGTATAATGAATTTTTACCCGATAGGGGACTATGTATTGCCATGCAATACTCTCAGAATGCTTGTCTTTTTTAGCCATGGCATTGTCAGTTTATTTTCGACTTATGAGTTTGAATGTCCCTTTGGTATCTTTCACCTCTCTTTTTTTCATCATGCTTGAAAATATTGATTTGATAATTGGTATATAGTTGTATCATGACAAGTTACAGATCAAGTTCGAATTTTGTTCCGGTCTGATGATTTTATGCAGAGTTATGGTCCTTGGACATAGAAAATTCACTAATAATCAGTTTTCTACACTTTTTTTTTCATCATGCTTGAAGATATTGACGATATTTGTTATAAAGTTAACACCATGACAAATTATAGAACAAGTTAGCATTTTGTTACAGTACAATGAAATTTTAACCTGTAGGGGACTATGTATTGCCATGCAATACTCTCAGAATGCTTGTTTAATTTAATTATTAAATTGAATTTTCTGTTATTATTGTCTATTAAATTTCAAATTCAGAGTAATAAACTATGACATCGTGTACATAACAATCATCCGTATTTAATTAAAGCGCACACTTGATCAAGTGTCTCCGTGAAGGGTAATAGAGTATTTGCCATGGGATAGAACAAATTGTCACCCTCGTATTAACCAATCAAAATCTGGCATTTTAACATGAAGTACAATAATACACAATACCCTTTCACACTTGGTAAAGATAAATATTACAATATATACTGTAACGTTCACCATTCACCATACACGTTTGAAATGGAAATTTAAAACATTCAGTGGAAATATTTTGTAAGGATTATAGATGAAGTTTGGGGGTACATAGTGACAAATATATTATTTGGGTTAAAGTTTCATGAAATCAAATCAAAACCCTGATGTCACTTGTGCTATATCGATATTTTTTAAGGCTTCGTCTCTTACATTTGATATCGCAAACATCATAGTACAGTAACATAGAGGTGAATATTCTTTATATCCTATCAATGTACATGTCAAGTAATGTATTAGAGATATATGCTAAGATATTCTGACGTGTGTAAATGTATTTCCACAGAATCGTTTTCATTTTGTTGTGAGCTCTTATTTATTTGTTTAAACTCTATGTGAACCTATTGCTTTTGATTAAGATTTTGTATATAATATAAATCCAAATGTTTTTATAAGATGTAACGTTTTAAACAGCATCTCATATTTTTATGATTTAAGTATGTGTTTTATGTTTTAGAAGTTGTTAATTTTTACAATATTTCTTATGTATGTGAATCGCTTTAATATAGTTTTACAAAACAATTTTATCTGTCGTTTAAAATTTCTTGAGGGAAACTTCATTTTAGTATACCATAAAATGATTTATATTTAGTAATATTAAATATCATATGTACAATTCTTTATGTTTCAATTATTTACATTTCTTCATAATGGTCCTTTAAAAAAAAATAGACTGAAAATATGAAAAAAAGAAGTGCAATTTGCTTTTTCCTTGCAATTACCATAGGTACACTTGTTGGAATTTAATGAAACCTATAGATGAAAGGACACAGTTGTATGTTGTACTGTTACACCGCCATCCCAGGTTAGGGGAGGGTTGGCGTTTTCAAACTAGATTATCCCCGGCACATTCTGTATGTGACTGTCCCAAGTCAGGAGCCTGTAATTCAGTGGTTGTCGTTTGTTGCTGTATATCATATTTGTTTTTCCTTCATTGTTTTGTACATAAATCAGGCCGTTAGTTTTCTCAATTGAATTGTTTTACATTTGTCATTAAGGGGCCTTTTATAGCTTACTATGCGGTATGGGTTTTGCTCATTGTTGAAGGCCGTAGTTGTTAACTTCTATGTCATTTTTATACGACCGCAAAAATTTTTGCGGTCGTATATTGGTATGACGTTGGCGTCGTCGTCGTCGTCGTCGTCTGGCGTCGTCCGGCGTCGTCCGAAGACACATTGGTTTTCGCACTCTAACTTTAGTTTAAGTGAATGGATCTCTATGAAATTTTACCATAAGGTTCAATACCACAAAAGGAAGTTTGGGATTGATTTTGGGGGTTATAGTACCAACAGTTAAGGAATTAGGGGCCAAAAAGGGGCCAAAAATAAGCATTTTTGTAACTTCCAGACATAACTTGTGTGTTAGTGTATGGATCTCTCTGACATTGTACTACAAGGTTCCATATCACACAGGAAATGCTGGGATTGATTTTGGGGGGTAATTGCCTCAAATCATTAGGAATTAGGGGCCAAAAAAGGGGCAAAAAACAAGCATTTTTCTAGTTTCATGACAATAACTTGTGTGTAAGTGTATGGATCTTTCTGAAATTGTACTACAAGGTTCCAAATCACAAAGGGAAAGCTGGAATTGAGTTTGGGGGTAATTGCCCAAAACGTTTAGGAATAAGGGGCCAAAAAGGGGCAAAAAATAAGCATTTTTCTAGTTTCCAGACAATAACTTGTGTTCAAGTGTATGGATCTCATTGAAATTGTACCACAAGGTTCCATATCACACAGTGAATGCTGGGATTGATTTTGGGGGTAATTGCCTCAAAATATTAGGAATAAGGGGCCAAAAAAGGGGCAAAAAACAAGCATTTTTCTAGTTTCATGATAATAACTTGTGTGTAAGTGTATGGATCTTTCTGATATTGTACTACAAGGTTCCATATCACAAAGGGAAAGCTGGAATTGAGTTTGGGGGTAATTGCTTCAAATGTTTAGGAATAAGGGGCCAAAAAGGGGCAAAAAATAAGCATTTTTCTAGTTTCCAGACAATAACTTGTGTTCAAGTGTATGGATCTCTCTGAAATTGTACTGCAAGGTACCATACCACAAAGGGAAGGCTGGGATTGAGTTTTGGGGTGATGAATCATAAGGGGGTTCAAAAAATTTGGGGGGGGGGATTTTTTTTTTTTTTTTCCTTTTTTTCTGTTTTTCCTTTTTTTTTTTTTTTTAAATTTTCCATTTTAAGTTGGTTATTTCTGTTTTATATTTAAAAGCAAATAATAATGATATGGTAGGAGATACTCACCAAACAGGATGTGTAAATTATTATATAATAAGTATTGTGCAATAGCAAGAAATTTTCAATTGCACAGTATTGCACAATAGCAAGAAATCTTCAATTGCACAGTATTGCGCAATAGCAAGAACTCTTCAATTGCACAGTATTGTGCAATAGCAAGAAATATCCAATAGCACAATATTGCACAATAGCAAGAAATTGTCAATTGTACAGTATTGCGCAATAGCAAGAAATATTCAATTGCACAGTATTGTGCAAAAGAAGATACTTCGTATAAATTGCTTATTTCTTGACCAATTTCAATGGGGTTTTATTCTTGAATTCTTTGGGTTCTTTAATATGCTGATTCTAACCGTGTATTAAGTTTTTGGATTTTGGGCCCCGTTTTTAAATTGGTCCACATTGAGGTCCAAAGGGTCCAAAATTAAACTTTGTTTGATTTCATCAAAAATTGAAATATTGGGGTTCTTTGATATGCCGAATCTAGCCGTGTATTTAGATTCGTAATTTTTGGTTCCGTTTTCAAATTGGTCTACATTAAGGTCCAAAGGGTCCAAAATTTAACTCAGTTTGATTTTAACAAAAATTGAATTCTTAGGGTTCTTTGATATGCTGAATCTAAACATGTATTTAGATTTTTGATTATGGGCCCAGTTTTCAAGTTGGTCCAAATCGGGGTCCAAAATTAAACTTTGTTTGATTTCAACAAAAATTGAATATATGGGGTTCTTTAATATGCTGATTCTAACCGTGTATTAAGTTTTTTGGATTTTGGGCCCCGTTTTTAAATTGGTCCACATTGAGGTCCAAAGGGTCCAAAATTAAACTTTGTTTGATTTCATCAAAAATTGAAATATTGGGGTTCTTTGATATGCCGAATCTAACCGTGTATTTAGATTCTTAATTTTTAGTTCCGTTTTCAAATTGGTCTACATTAAGGTCCAAAGGGTCCAAAATTTAACTTAGTTTGATTTTAACAAAAATTGAATTCTTAGGGTTCTTTGATATGCTGAATCTAAACATGTATTTAGATTTTTGATTATGGGCCCAGTTTTCAAGTTGGTCCAAATCAGGGTCCAAAATTAAACTTTGTTTGATTTCAACAAAAATTGAATATATGGGGTTCTTTGATATGCTGAATCTAACCATGTATTTAGATTTTTGATTTTTGGGCCCCATTATCAACTTTGTCCACATTGAGGTGAAAAGGGTCCAAAATTAAACTTTGTTTGATTTCATCAAAAATTGAATTCTTGGGGTTCTTTGATATGCTGAATCTAACCATGTATTTAGATTTTGGATATTGGACCATAATAGGTGAATGTTCAATTTAAAATTTTAAGTTCTTAGACCACATTCATTCTGTGTCAGAAACCTATGCTGTGTCAAATATTTAATCACAATCCAAATTCAGAGCTGTATCAAGCTTGAATGTTGTGTCCATACTTGCCCAACTGTTCAGGGTTCGACCTCTGCGGTCGTATCAAGCTGCGCCCTGCGGAGCATTTTATTGATCTCTATTGGAGAGTTGTCTCTTTGGCAATCGTACCACATCTTCTTATTTTTATATATACAGCTGGTTGAATTTCCAGTCAAAATGTTAAAAGGTTAAGGTCATGGTTACACAAATATTCATTTTACGAAATACTTTGGGTCCAGATGGAATCTCATCATGATAGCATGCTGGCTTTTATCATATAAATGTGATTTTAAGATTGGACACAAATTTGAATTTTAGGCATATAATAAAATAAAAGATGTGATTAGTTACAGAAAGTTCAGAACATCATTTGCATTTGCATTATTAACATTTGCTTTTTGGGTATTGATATCAACGTTTATTTCCCTTTCTCCTTTAATATACAAAGAACTCATTACATGGTTTCATTAAAGATCAAATACATGCCTCACGGGTGAACTATAAGATTTTCACCGCTTCTCCCCTGATTGTGAAGAAAGCTGCAAAACACAATTTTGTGAAATGTCTACAAGACATTTACTGTTTTCCCATTTAAGACTATACCAAAGAGACAATCGTGAGCATCGATAATGAGCCAATCAAAGTTGTTTTTGATGATTGTAAAAAATATTTTAAAGGATCAAATCGGTTATCTTATTTTTTATTTTGTTTCAAAGGCCTTAACCCCTTAAACGACTGAACTAGTTCAAGATTTACTTGGTCCTTGGTGTGTCTAGATTTTAGTTCATGAATTATTATTACAAAGAATTCTAACGCTACCAATTTTACTGCACCATATGTGCTTTTCAATAAATGTCCCTTGGGTGATGCTTGAGGCCAATATATTTTGAAAATCTAAAACTTATGAGCTTATATACACAAAAAGACAAAACTTATACCCAAAGCCAGACAAGGAACCAGAGTTTTGCATGAGGGAGGTATATTCCTAAAATAATTTCCAAAAGTGTGTTACTGTTACTAAAACCACAAATTTTAATAACACATTATCCATATTTTCATGCCAGTACCGAAGTACTGGCTTACGTTACCAGTGTCTGAGCAGAAAGTTGATGAACCAGGAGTATGTCAAAGAACGTCTCGTTATTTTTCTTAAAAAGTTCATCGGAAGGTACCAAGACCTTGTTGATAAATATTCCGTATCAAATTCACAAATAAAACACGATGGTCTTGAAGTATAGATTCTGGGTACTGACGTTGCTTATCATCTTAATAACGTGTTATAGTATTCTTGTATTTGTCTTTTTGAATATTACTTTTACTGTTTAGTCTATTTTTTGGGTTATTCATTTGACGTGGCTCGGTACTTATACATCCCGTCATTGTGTCATTGTGCTATGGTAAATTTTTGTATTCTTGTCTTTCATTTTTGCTTATGTGCTTTGTCTATATGTCTTTTTGTGTTTATTTGTTACATATTTTTTTGTTTTCATAGTGATTAAGATTATAATACAATTTTGACTGTTGTACCCCTATTTTGACATTTTTACCTTTTATGTCTCTTTGTTTTGTTCACACATCATTGTCAATATAATGGAATTTTATGAGACTGTCATACAAATGAGAGGTTTAGCTAACTATAAAACCAGGTTTAATCCACCATTTTCTACATTAGAAAATGCCTGTACCAAGTCAGGAATATGACAGTTGTTATCCATTCGTTTGATGTGTTTGAGCTTTTGATTTTGCCATTTGATTAGGGACTTTCCGTTTTGAATTTTCACCGAAGTTCGGTATTTTTGTGATTTTACTTTTTACTGGGTTAGTGATAACCTCGGGGACTAACAGTCCATCAGCAAAGTTTTCGACTTTGTTGTAGTACAACATTAACGGTACAAATTATACTACACCAGATACGCATTTCGACAATGCATGTCTTCAGTAATGCCCGAAGCCAAAAACTTTCAATTTCAAAAGCTTATTAAAAAAATGAACAGCCTATAAACCAAAAATGACATAAAATATAAAAGCCCGACAAGGAATCAGAGCTTTGTATGTGGGAGATATATACCTTCATCTTAAATAATATCAAAAATTTTGCGACTGCAAATTTTAAAAACACAATATCCGTATTCTCATGCCAGTGCTGAAGTACTGGATACTGCATGGGCTAGTGATACTCTCGCGATCGGGAACTAACAATAAATGTCTCTTCCTTGATCATCAAGGCCAAAATATTTGAAAAACCAAACTTATTCAAAATGTGAAGAGATTATTAACCATTAGAGACAGATAGTATAGCTAAAGTCGGGAAATGAATCAAAGCTTTGCATGAGGGTGATATATTCCCTAATCCAAAATAATTTTAAAATTTTCACCATAAAAGTATTCAGCACTTCTGTGTTGACATGATATATAATTGATATGGTCATATTTATATATTAACTGTTTATAAAACTTTCAATTGTTCGAAATACTATGAAATTTCGACCCCAGAAATAGATCACCTTAGCTGTATTTGGCAAAACCTTTCGAATTTTGGGGTCCTCAAAGCTCTTCGGCATCGTACTTAATTTGGCTTTTTAACTTCGAGCGTTATTGATGAGTCTTGTAGACAAAACGCGCCTCTGTCGTACAAAATTATTAGCCTGGTATCTTTGATATGTTTTTTATAACAAAATATCCGTATTTGCATGATTTTCATGACATTACCAAAGTACTGGCTACTGGGATAGTGTTTCCATCGAGGACTAACAGTCCACCAGTAGAGGTATCGACCTAGTGTTAGTAAAAACATTAACGGTACCAATTTTACTGCACCAGATGCACATTTCGACAATGAATGAAGCCAAAATATTTGCAAAACCAAAAGTTTTTAAAACAATAACGAGGTTATAAAGCAAAAATGACCCCCCAAAAAAAATTGACAAGTCGGGCAAGGAATTAGAGCTTTGCACGAAGGAGATATATTATTTTATCTTAGATAATTTCCCAAATTTTGCAACAGCAAATTTTGAAAACACTTTATCCGTATTTTCATGCCAATACCGAAGTACTGGCTACTGGGCTTGACTGTGATTCCTTCCTGATAAAGGATTAACAGTCCACCAGCAGCGGTATTGACCCAGTGATAGTAATGACATTAACGGTACCAATTTTACTGCACCAGATGCGTTTCTCGAGAATAAATGAAGCCAAAATATTTTAAATCCAAAACGTGCTAAAAGTGAAGAGCTTATAAACCATAAGACACAAAGTATATACAAATTCGGGCAAGGAATCAGAGTTTTGCATGATGGTGATATATTCTTTAGTCAAAAATAATTTAGAATATTTTGTAACAGCATCGTACATGCCACACAGGCATTACCAGAGATGCATACAGAGAAGCGGCCAAAGCAAAGGCCGATATCGATTGGAGTTGTTCTAACTGCCTTATTGTGGACCAACCCTTACCAACTGAGCAACAACCTAGACCACTAAGTCTTGTAGCATACAGTGATTTCGAATCAGATCATGATATTGCCTCACAGAGACCGGCCATACCTGTAGCCCATTTCAACGACTCCGACACAGGTCCGGTGTTAAGCTCGCCAGATATACTTATTGGCAGACCAAAACTTTTCAGGGACAGTGACTCAGATTCAGATCATTATATTGTTAGACGCCGACCACCACCTAGAGTCATAACCGAAGACAACTCTGACTCGGACCATGCTGCAGACGATACATTTGACATTAACAATCGCTCGTTTGTTATTCCGGTCCCAGTCAACGAAGGGTCTCTGTCTGACAGCTCGGTTGACGACCCTATGGAGGGCATTGATACAACTGCCACAATTACTTACAAGATATTAGACCAAGGTACCAAACGTGGTAAACATAAGCTTTATTCTAGTGATGGTTTTTCTTTCACTGTTAAAAGGCAGCAAGATGAAAAGACCTGGTGGTGGTGTAGTGTAAGAGGTAAAAATAACAGGTGTCCAGCAGCGGTTAGCCAAATAAGTGACAAATTCGTTCCAGGCAAAGTACCACATAATCATCCTTCTACACCTGGTTCAGTGGTTGCGGCCACAATTTCATCAACTGTCAAGGCACAAGCGGCATTACCAGCCCATGCTTTTACTAGATCATCAGAGATTGTGAAGACAATTCTAGCAACACATGCTAATGTAAACCTGCCGGAGGCAAGTCGTCCTGCCATCACTAATTTAAAAAGACAATGTAATCGTAGACGTCAAAAAGATCGTCCTCCTGAGCCAAAACACCTAGATTTCGATCTTGCAGAATACTACCTGCCGGACAACTTCCTGAAAGCTGATATCAAAAAGAATGGTCAAAGATATATAGTCTTAGCCACAGATCAGTAACTACAATTACTGTCTAAGTCCAAATGTTGGTATATGGACGGCACTTTCAAAGTGGTAAAGGTACCATTCAAGCAGCTATTTACCATCAAGTGCTTCCTAAACAGTGGGACAGAAACCAAACAGGTACCAGCCCGGGTTAAAAAAGGAGGAGGGTTATGCAATTGCATGTAAAAGTGAAAAAAAAAGGAGAAAATAATATTTTTTTCAGGTCCTGTGCCATAGGTCGTGTGCCATTAATCTACTTAATCACTTTACACCTACTGTAATTACTTTTTCACTAGTTCAGTAGCCAGTACTTTGATATTGGCAAGAAAATACAAAATTAATGTCTTTTCAAAATTTGCTGTTGCAAAATTTTGGAAATAATTTCAGATAAAGGAATATATCTGCCTCATGCAAATATCTGATTCATTGCCTGAATTTGTCCAAATGTTCAGTCATTTTTGGTTTACATGCTCTTCATCTTTCCAATAAGTTTTGGATTTTTAAAACTTTTGGCCCTAAACATCACGGAAGACATTTATTGTCGAAATGCGCATATCGTTCAGTAAAATTGGTACCGTGTATGGTATTACTACCATTGGGTCGGTACTTCTGAAATTATATATGCTCGGATGAGTACATGCGAAGATCTAATTCTTTGTGAAATCTAAGTTTAAGGGTCACTTAAGGTTTAATAAGATGTTTTATGCATACTGGCCCTGGTCTTTAAAAATCTTTTC